GCAACATGCAAATGGCAGCTTTTAATGCTCTCTTTGGTCTGTTTAATGGTATCTTCAGAATAGCAGCTTTAGAGACGGTCATAAGGGGCCACTCCTAGAAAACAAGTGAAGTTATGTAGTAAAAATCAATAGCTTTATTCTGTTTTAAGTCTTCACATTCTACCTGACTGCCATTAGCCTCTAGTGGTGTCTTTAACAATGTTTATACCAGACCTGGGTCAAATACAGACACGTATGGAAAATACTTTCAAATACTTGACCTGCACATAATTTAGTTTGCCCGTTACAATAGAACCAATAGAATAGTCCCAAAAGTTCACATTTCAAGTTAAATCAAGCTAATCTCAATTTATACTTTTAAATATTTTACACAAGTCTGATCTATACTGCAATTCCACGAAAGTAATACAAATTACAATAATTGGATATGCATTTAATTGATTATGTCATAATACATGACAACTCTGCCATTATTTAGTATATTTCTCAAATTAAAGTCTGTGCTGTTGTTTTGAAAACAAACATAGGTGTGTACCTCTGATCTCTCAGGTGACCTATGACCTTGTGATTGGCAGTTGCTGCATGTGGACAGGGATTAGTGTATTCACCAACTTGTGGGTCACGCATGCTGAACCCGGTTGGTCTGTGCACCACAAGTCCCTATTAGCCCATTTAGCTAAAGCCTAGACGTGAGCCCTGGGAGCTAAGCAAGTGTTTAAGTCTTTCATCACATGCCACTAGGTCACCAAACTATATAGCAGAAAGCCTTTCAATGGACAACATATTGTCAACATGCAATCTGTTAAATGTTTTGATCTTACCTAGATACTGTATCTCTTACCATTAGAATGCATCAACTTGACGTCTTACCAAGGTAAATTATCTTAGTGCACTGGCAGATCATTTTTCTTACTTTAACCTAAAAAATGCTTGAAACAAGTTTGAATTATCTTGCATTTCCTGGGCAAGCATAATCAACTCAAAACAAGTAAATGCATTTTCTGGGTAAGTGAGAGAAACTCAAAACAAGTTATGTTTACTTCCTTATCTCAATACAACACAAAATCTAGGTAATATTTGTTTTTAAATGCAGTGTGGCTGCAATGTATCTTGTGTTATCATGAAGCCATCATTGAGCGAAGTTGGCCTTTGTAGAGAGAGGTGGTGTGCCCTGAAAAAGACATGCTGAACATTACACAAAGGCAGATGGACAGTATTTTTACAGATGTACATGTGTATACATTCCCATATGCCTTCCATTGAACCGATATTTGTTTAACATTCTTGTTTATATGTAAAGAAGCACTTTCCAAAATATCACTTCACCCCTATGTTTATGACGTAGAGAGTACCAATACACATCTTCTAAAGTTATTCATTCCATTTACCTGTTTTGGGTTCCATTGTTTATTTTCTTTTTCCTAAATTAGCCTGATATTGTCTGACCACTAGAAGACATTTAGCCTCTTGCTGCACATTGTTTTTAACTTATTGTTTTTATCTGTGCAAATAAACTACATCCAAATGGGTGAGCATGTGTGGTATACACACTGACAATGGCCTAACATATAAACCATTCTGTGAGTCTAGGACTTTGTGGCAAAATGGGATTCCTTGGTTGGTTTCGTGACGTATTTTAGGGTGTCACAGCTTGGTTTGGAAGAGTCATGGTATTATGCATAGATCTCTCTAGAGTTGTGAAGTTTCTAAAGAGATGCATTCGCAAGATAGACCAGAAAATGGTGAGAGTGCAGTGCTACACAGAAAGATCTGTATGCTTCGAATCAGCTCCTCGATTTCACATCATGGAACTTCAAAACTCTCTCTCTCTGCACATTTTGTATTCCCACATTGTTTCCCAGAGTTTTTCTTTTTTTTGGGTAGCCAAGCTTTCGCCTCTCGTTTCCCCCGAGTTTGTATGTTTGCTTTTGGGGAGAAGGAGGAGGAGGGGGATCAGCAGCAAGCAAGCTAACTCTGTGCAAGACTACTCAAAGACCTACCTTGTTGTTTCCTAAAGTCACTGCCAAACTCTCAAGACGTGCATTTTCAATTTACATTTACATTTTAGTCATTTAGCAGACGCTCTTATCCAGAGCGACTTACAGTTAGTGAGTGCATACATAATTTTTTTATTTTTCATACCCCCCGTGGGAATCGAACCCACAACCCTGGCGTTGCAAACATCCCTGCCGACCATTCCCTCCCCTACCCTGGACGACGCTGGGCCAATTGTGCGCCGCCCATTCATACCCGTTCTTCGTGGCTACGTTTACAAATGTCCCCTTTTTACTGCACATGCCTTTTCTTGCATCTAAACGTGTATCTAATTTTAGCAATTTCAAAATACAGAAACAAACTTGTGTTGAGTTGCCTTTAGATATATTACCTTTAGGTAAGTCTTAGGCTACCTCAGGTTAGGAATCTGTCGGACTTGGTGTGAAAGTCGATGGACAGCTGAACATTGGTTAAGAGAAGTGTAGTGAAATATGAATTTTTGTAGCTACCATGTGTCTCTTGGTTCCACAAGGACCATTCCCTCTTTTGGAAGATAGAATCAGCCTATGGGTGTGTGTGAGAGAGTCAGGTATTGCCTTTGGCACATTGTGGGGTTTCAGCGCCCCTGTGTGGCTAATAATATAACTGCATGTCATTGCTCTCATGGTTTGAAGGCAGGTACCCCTTGAAGTGACTCAATCACATTCTTAAAATTAGAGTAGATATATTTCTTTATTGTCTGATTTTTCAGATATTTGTTTTACGTGCAAGAAAATGCAAATATGATAAGGTGAGAGACATGGCATCTGCATCAAACATACAAATGAATGAAAAACAAAACATAAATGACAGTTGAAGGACTCTTACCCCTCCCTCCCTTCCACATGACATAACACAGGGACATGTAGCTATGTTGGAAGTTTTGCATTATGTTCATCTGTTTAGAGCTGAGATGTATGGCTTAAAGCACAGTAGATGGATGCTGTTGTAGTTGATACCATAACTGGTATTATTAAAACAATTAGTGTATCGTGCTTTGCTGTGAGGCACTATCAGTACAAACAGTAGGGGCCCTCTTATTGCCAAAGACCACTTCTGCAAAGTGTGCCTTTGTTTGCCCTTAGGATTTCAAAATGTCCTCTTGACATTGTATATTTCGGCCGTCTGTTTGGTCAATTTCAGTCAAAATGCTTTGACCATCTGACATTTTACATTTACATTTTAGTCATTTAGCAGACGCTCTTATCCAGAGTGACTTACAATTAGTGAGTGCATACATTTTACACACTGACACACGCACACTCGTCATTGTGTTCTGAGGAGTGTGAGAACATGGAGAGGTGAAAGGTCAACAGGATAAGATGTGACTGAGGTTAGGAGATTTTCTTTACATGTTACTGTTTCTTTGCTTTGGCCATCACTCCACATGAAACACACAAACTGCTCGTAAATGGCATACTTCCTCTTTACAATTTGTCATAGTCGATCTCAACTGGGTGAGGTTTAACAGGTTTCCAACATTTTCACGCGGTAGCCATTCTAACTTCTCCCTTTGCAACGGGTAATTCCATTTTTCTGTTTGTATGTACTGTCTGAATGTGACCCCTATGAGTATATCCTGTCACTTGACCCGGGAAGTGATTGTCACAGAGCGTCCTACCAAGACACCGCTGCCATAGGTAAGCCTGCTGTGCAGGTTATGCAGTCCCCAAGTTGACGACCCGCAACAAAGCTACGGCCGAGTTCTTGTACCAAGGCTTATTTATTAGGTTTTTTGTGTATGCAAGAATAGAATGTTAGGCAGAGGGTAAAAACAGAATAACAGAATAATAATAATAAGTTTCATTTTGTTCTATGTCGATATAGCCTTGGCCATGAATGCTGCTTTTGCTCTAGCAGTCTTGGTTTTGGATCCTAAACTGTTTTACTGATGGCAAGAGTTGGAATTCTTAAAACAGTGGGTGGTCACAGTCAGTTAAAGGGGAAGTTTTGGTATTTTACAAATTGTTGAATGGTTCATCACACTGAAAGGGTCTGTTTAAACAAGACAACCCATGGATTATGGCTTCCCCTGGTCCATAGACTACTTTCAGGGTGAGGAACCATCTTACATTAAATGATAAAATACTGAACTTCCCCTTTAATGAAAAAGATGTTGCATTTTTAGAGCATGTTCCTATTGAATAGTGAATAAAAGTTGGTTTGTAGAATGGTCTTGTTTACTTGGTTGGAAGGTGGAGTTTCCTCACTAAAAACACTTTCTGTTGTGCTTTACCCAGATTGCACTTGTATTCTTCTCTCATCTCAGTTTGTGGTTCGAAATTGTACCCAGACATTTGTATCCACATTTTCCAATTCCTGGCTGGGATTTTTTGGGGGGAGGGCCACCCTTGAGGGTCTTCCTCGAATCAATATTCATGTCCTCTGTTTTTTTCAACGTTCACCTGTAGATATTAACAAATACAATGAGTCCTCCACTACTTGGCCATTACCAGTGTCATTATCATTTAGGAGGTTTATAATGACTTAGTCATCTGCAAACTTAATGATGTGTCTCCTTTCCTGGTTGCTTCTTCAGTCATCTGTATATAAATGGTAGAGGTTAAACAGCATAGCCCTGAGGTGCCCCTGTGGAGCTATGCCTGTGGATAACTGATACTTTCACTGTCTCTGGATCTTCTCTGCCCTCTGAATGGGAGATGTCAGGATGTCTAAAAGTCCTCATGTCCCTGCTCCTTTTCCTGGGCATTCTTTAGCTACTTGTGTTGTATCCAAATATTGCAGTCTTGTTTTGTCGCTGTTAAGCTTTATTGCCTATTGAGCATGGTCATACATAAGGTTGTCCTCTGGTATTGAACTCAAAATCAGTGCTTCACACTCTGTATGGCTAGACCAAAAGACGGTCCATGTGGCCTCCGGTTATTCAGCAAGTGACTCTCTGGTGCTCTCTGGTGGCACACCTCATGCATTAGCATTGACTCCCTCTGTCACGGTCTTTCCCACAGATAGAGATTGGCACACTGGCCCCACCAGACTATAACTACCCTGGCCCTGGGGGCCCTGCATCACTGGAGGAGGAAGAGGAGGAGGAGTTGCCCCTAAGACCCCAGCTCATCCCCCAAGGCTCAGGGGGGTCTGGGTTACTCATGGGCCCCGACGCACAGGGAGGTCTGTATACACACACACACACACACACACACACACACACACACACACACACACAGCACACACTCATAATACACACATACAGCACGCACACACATTGCACACACCCACCCAGCATTCACACACATACACACACCCACAGCACATACACTCTGTCACCTCACACTATGAGCCCATACACACAGGGAGATTAAGGTATGTGTCCAGTACTGCCAGTGATACACACAACCTTCCCCCTTAACGCCTACCAATGCAAATCAACCCCTTTTTACAATCATCCTTCGTCATTTCCAAATGCATGAGTTCCATTTAACTTGTCTGATATTGGTTAAATGTGTAGTACTCAACCATAAATCTCATTCACTTTTTGTAATGTCACCTAATCATCATTGTAAACATGACTCACTAGCCCTAAAACTGAATCATGGTCCACTCTGCTCTAACTTGTCTCTTCTAACACCTAATCTTGTCTCTAACAAGAGGAGGAGCTGCGCCTGAGTCCCATTGACATCCTTCATATCTCCGGGGACTTTGGGGGTTCCACGGGTTCTGGAGGTTCCAGTGGCTCTGGGGGTTCCAGAGGTTCTGGGGGTTCCGGAGACCTTTTGGCTTCCGGTTCTGGGGACCTTTTGGGTTCCGGAGGCTCAGGGGCTTCTGGGGAAATTGGTTCTGAGGGTTCCGGGGACCTTGGTTCTGGGGGTTCTGAGGACCTTGGTTCTGGAGGCTCTGGGGGTTCTGGGGACCTTGGTTCTGGAGGCTCTGGGGGTTCCAGAGACCTTGGTTCTGGAGGCTCTGGGGGTTCTGGGGACCTTGGTTCTGGAGGCTCTGGGGGTTCCGTGGACCTTGGTTCTGGAGGTTCTGGGGACCTTGGTTCTGGAGGCTCTGCGGGTTCCGGGGACCTTGGTTCTGGAGGCTCTGGGGGTTCCGTGGATCTTGGTTCTGGAGGCTCTGGAGGTTCCGTGGATCTTGGTTCCGGGACCCTCCTAGGCTCAGGTGGTTCCGGGGACATATTGGGTTCCGGTTCTGGGGGTTCCGGAGGTTCTGGCTCCAGGGGTTCCGGGGATTCAGGAATAATAATTATATCTGGAGGTCAGTACCTATACTTCTACAGACTAGACTGTAGAAGTATACAGATAGTTGGTTGGGCCTATACTGGCCTTGTGAACCTAGTACAGTTCCAAGCACTGATTGATATGCTCAGACTATATGGGATTTCTTGTCATTTCTAAATTTGCATTTTCATTTAACTGCTTTGTGCTGGTTAAATGTGGATTGATAATGCTTTCTTGTGATTTGCTACTTGTCGTCATTGTAAACCCTGTGTCATTGCTTTGTCACTTACAGTACCATTGTCATTGTAAACGTCACTCAATGTCCTACCATTGTCATTGTAAACGTCACTCATTGTCGTACCAATGTCAATGTAAACGTCATCCGTTGTTCTACCATTGTCATGGCATTACTTACCATAAGTTCCTAATCATTGTCAACCTAACCCACTGTCAAACCATATATGAGTGTGATTGATTGGCTGATTTAAATGATTGCTTGATTGACAGTCCATCCCATCCCATGAGAAGCACTAACCTGTCTCCTAACCCCTCCCCTTGGCTCTAACAAGAGGAGGAGCTGCCCCTCATTCCCGACATTATCCCCCAGGAGGTATTGGGTGCTTCTGGGGAGTCCGGGGCCTCAGGGACTGGGGGCTCCGACTCTGGTGGGTCAGAGGTCATATTAATCCCTGACCCTGAAGAAGGTCAGTACCACCAAATAAAGAAACTCTAAGAAAACAGATCTCTATGGTACCAACCCATTGTACCATATGTGTAAGGAAAACAGGGATAAAGGTCCCAAAAACTTTGAGCAGAAAGCATGCTCTGCTGCCATGTCTGTATTTGGACAAGGGAAGTTGACCAAATAATGTGGTCAAGAGATTCTTTTCAAAGGCTTTGTGGTATGAATAATCTCCAATTCCAGCTAAGAATACTGTTCCCAGGTACCTATTTATATTAAACATATATCAACATAACATAATTTGATTAACTCTCAAAATCCATTCACAAGGTTCCATTTAACTATTACTTAATTTAATCAGTTAAATGTGTCATAAACAACAACAACAACATAACTCCCTTGCTATTTGTGACTTCTCACCGTTGCAAACAGCACTTGTTGTCGTGTCACTGTCCATGCTGTTTCCAACCTGTCTCTTTAATACCTCATCTCTATCTCTAACAAGAGGAGGAACTGCTCCTGACTACCCCGAAAACCCCTCAGGAGTCTGGAGGTACAGTAGGCTCAGGGGGTTCTGGGTTGCCAGAGGTTGACTTGGACATTAAAGGTCAGTATCCAGCACAAACGCTAACTATTCAATCAAAACCTGTAACCAGGCTTCTGGGGTTATAGGGTCTATTCTACTTCACTATACAGTATATGGGGTCTATCACATTCCCATATTGAAACATATTTTCTCATATCTACATACGAGTTCTTTCTTTAATTTCACCCCAGAAACCCTGGTTTTGATTGAATAGGGTTGTTGAATCTTATATTTATCTGCATCATATTAAAACTGATCACAAACTGTGTTTAAGCCATATGTACACTACCATTCAAAAGTTTGGGGTCACTTAGAAAAGTCCTTGTTTTCCGAAAGAAAAGCAATTTTTTTGTCCATTAAAATAACATCAAATTGATCAGAAATACAGTGTAGACATTGTTAATGTTGGAAATGGCTATTGTAGCTGGAAACGGCTGATTTTTAATAGAATATCTACATAGGCATACAGAGGCCCATTATCAGCAATCCAGCAGTCCTGTGTTCCAATGGCACTTTGTGTTTGCTAATCCAAGTTTATCATTTTAAAAGGCTAATTGATCATTAGAAAACCCTTTTGCAATTATGTTAGCACAGCTGAAAACTGTTGTGCTGATTAAAGAAGCAATAAAACTGGCCTTCTTGAGACTAGTTGAGTATCTGGAGCATCAGCAATTGTGGTCCTCAATGAAGCTGCCAATTGAGGACCTGTGAGGTGTCTGTTTCTCAAACTAGACACTATAATGTATTTGTCCTCTTGCTCAGTTGTGAACCGGGGCCTCCCACTACTCTTTCTATTCTGGTTAGAGCCAGTTTGCGCTGTTCTGTGAAGGGAGTAGTACACAGCGTTGTATGAGATCTTCAGTTTCTTGGCAATTTCTCGCATGGAATAGCCTTCATTTCTCAGAAAAAGAATAGACTGAAGAGTTTCAGAAGAAAGTTATTTGTTTCTGGCCATTTTGAGCCTGTAATAGAAAAAAAACGTTGAAAAAAACTGAGGACATTGATTTGAGGAAGACCCTCAAGGGTGGCCCTCCCCCCAAGAAATCCCAGCCAGGAATTGGAAAATGTGGATACAAATGTCTGGGTACAATTTCGAATCACAAACTGAGATGAGAGAAGAATACAAGTGCAATCTGGGTAAAGGCACAACAGAAAGTGTTTTTAGTGAGGAAACTCCACCTTCCAACCAAGTAAACAAGACTATTCTCACCCTGTTTTACATATATTTTATTACAGATGTTTTTACTGTTACCACATTCTCCATGGTCTGTTGGTTTGTAAACATAACTGTAAAATGTTTGGTCAAAATTAACAGGATAGTGAGCATCAGTTCAAACATCACAGGTGTAACACAAACCAACTTTTCTTCACTATACAATAGGAACATCCTCTAAAAATGCAACATCATTTTCATTAAAGGGGAAGTTCAGTATTAACTAGACCACTATAAGTATTGTCCTCTTGCCTCAGTTGTGCACCGGGGCCTCCCACTCCTCTTTTATTTCTGGTTAGAGCCAGTTTGCGCTGTTCTGTGAAGGGAGTAGTACATAGCGTTGTACGAGATCTTCAGTTTTCTTGGCAATTTCTCGCATGGAATAGCTTCCATTTCTCAGAACAAGAATAGACTGACGAGTTTCAGAAGAAAGTTATTTGTTTTTGGCCATTTTGATCCTGTAATCGAACCCACAATTGCTAATGCGCCAGATACTCAACCAGTCTCAAGAAGGCCAGTTTTATTGCTTCTTTAATCAGCACAACAGTTTTCAGCATGTGCTAACATAATTGCAAAAGGGTTTAGCCTTTTACAATGATAAACTTGGATTAGCAAACACAACGTGCCATTGGTTGCTGATAATGGGCCTCTGTACGCCTATGTAGATATTCCATTAAAAATCAGCCGTTTCCAGCTACAATAGCCATTTACAACATTAACAATGTCTACACTGTATTTTAATGGACAAAAAAATTGCTTTTCCTTCAAAAAAAAAAGACATTTCTAAATGACCCCAAACTTTTGAACGGTAGTGTATCTGTAACGTCCGTTACACGACTTATGTCTTGTCGTAACCTGTCACAAACACTATCATGTGTCTGTCTGTAACATATGTGTATACTTTCAAGTAGCTCTTCAATGTGTCTGTAACATCTGTTATCAACTTCACCTAATGTTTGTGTTGTTGTAACCTGTCCCAAACACCATTAACACAATATGTCTAACATTGTTAATGCACTACACCTCAACCATTGCACCTCAGCAACAACCCTCATGCCACGTCTCACAATGTGCACACCTGTGTCACATCAAGAGCTGTGTCCAATCCAGACTTGACCTTTCTTGATGCAAATGGTAAAACAAACATCATATCAACATTGAGTACACTTCTCTACTATTATCCAAACCCATTGTTACTGTATCTAAGGCTGGTGGCCTAAACTTCATCATACAACATGTCAGACCTATCAACTGTTCTTTCAAGTGTATCGCCTACCTCCATCTTACTTCCTTGTCCTGTCTGTCTGTCTTCCTGTCCCTCCGTCTGTACCAGGTATGCCTACCTGCCTGCTGTGCACCTGTCTGGGTGGTTCTGTCTACTGTGATGATGTGAAGCTGACGAGCGTGCCGCCTCTCCCCAAAGAGACCACTCACTTCTACGCCCGCTACAACCACATCACCAAGATCAACAAGGGCGACTTTGCTCAGATGAGTAGGTGTAACATTTTAAAGGCACAGCCCATGAGATTTCCTGCTGTTCAATGGTTGTTTCAATCAATGAAACCATGTGGAACAGTCGGAGTACTTTACCTTCCCTCTCTTGCAGACAAGTTGAAGAGGATAGACTTGACCGCCAACGAGATTGCGTCCATCGCTGATGATGCGTTCTCCGGCCTGCCGGTGCTGGAGGAGCTGGTGCTCCGTGAGAACGGCGTGGCACAGCTGCCTGCCCTTCCGCCCATGATGACCCTCGTCGACGCCAGCCACAACAACATTGGCGCCACGGGCATCCACAAAGAAGCTTTCAAGGTATGTAGGTCTGACAGCGATCACAAAGAATTGATTTGCTTATTCCCAGCATTATCACACTTGATTCCACTATTGGGCTAATCCCCAAGACCTTGATGAGTTGAATCAGGTGTGTTAATGCTGGGATAAAACAAAAACAGGGATGTATTGAGAAAGACTGTCTGGCATTAATGACTCTGTAAATGCAAACAATGATGCTTCTTATGTTTTGTTTAGGACATGACTGGTCTGCTGTACCTGTACCTAACAGACAACCACATCGACCACATCCCTGTGCCCCTACCGGATAGCCTGCGCTCTCTGCACCTACAGGTACCAGCACTTCTGCCTCTGTACTGCCTTCTTGTGGGTGAACTATAGGATTACCTCCATACTGTACACTGGTGGTGACTAGAGGGATTTTCCACTCTTTCTGCAAGCTGTTTCGAAACATTCTGACCAATTCTCTGCCATCAGTTTGTTATTTGGGCAAATTATTGTATATTTAAAATGCACTTTTCTCCAGCACTCTGTCAGACCTGTGCAGAATCTCAAACAAGCATTAGCTCGTCATTCATCGTTTTAATGAATGTGTTGTTTCGGTGTTTCCTTACCGACTTCCAATGCCTTGTTTTCCAGCGCAACAACATTCAGATGATACACGAGGACACGTTCTGCAACCTGAAAGACTTCAACTACATCAGGAACGCACTGGAGGACATTCGCCTGGACGGCAACCCCATCAACCTCAGCAGGACCCCACAGGCCTATGTGTGTCTGCCCCGCGTTCCCATCGGAGCCCACATCTAACCACACACTGATACATACATGTGAATACTCTAACACACGCATACTTACACAGCTCAACTCATTGTCTATCAGACATATGTACATACCACACACTTACCTACGGAGACAGATCCTAAAAATTGTCCCGTCTATCAGTTCAATGGCAATCTGCACATACAGTAAATACCAGTACACACAATCTACCTACCTTACCTAATTTAAGCCTGATCGGTTGTTGATTGCATACATAACACATACCAAGTGAGAGAAATGGTGTGTATCTCTCATTCCTACACATACACACACAAATACACACCAGATAACTTTATTTGTCAAAAGCCAAACTGTTCTGCAACTTGATGCAAAGAGACAATTAAAATTTGACATTTTATTGATCCAACAATCAAACATTGTTTTGTGTCTGTTCACGACTGGCAATGACAACCAGTAATATTGTTTAAATATGTTTTTGTAAAGGAAAAAAATTATATTACAGAAATCTAACACTATTTTTAAAAAAAAATTAAAATTATACTAGCATAAACTAATTGAAGCTGAAGCTTACTGGAATGGTCAATTGAATATCATTGCAATAAAATAAGCAATTAAACAAGCGTTTGTTGTAAAGTCTGTACTGTAATATAAAAATATATTCTGAAGTAACTTTTTTTACATGAACTGCAATATTTGGTATATTACATTTCAAAGTTGTTGTTTTGACCACAATAGCCTATATCAATAAAGATCAAGACTATTGTACGACTGGGGAGGGGGTGGTCTGTTGGGTGTGGATGGGGTTAATAATAATAATAGCCTGCTATTGTGTGCTATGTATGGAAATACCACAATTGAATAAAGTTGTTTTGATGACCTCAATGGCTTAACTTTTTCATTGAGAATTAACCGGTGAGGTGTGTAACTGCAAACTGATTTTGAAATGAACTGATTGAGTACAACTGTTTAGACAGTTAATGTTCAAATGCTTCTAGCCCAGCTAACAATAGGCATACAGGTATCTCTGAACAGCAATACAAAAAGGATTTGTCAATGAAAACGTTGTACCTTCATAGAAAATAAAACCAATACAGATGATATCCAATTACTTCCCAATTGAATAGCCTAGTCTAGTGTAAACAAACATGTAATTGTTCTTCACATACGTTCAACCAACTTTTCAAACATCTTGAGGAATCTCTCGGTTCTTTCCAATGACCCAACGACCCTCTGTCCTCCTGTTTTACTGCTCTGTCCTTCTGCACCATTCTCCTCCGCTGCTCTACCCTCCGCCAGTAGAGCTCTGTCTCTGTCCACAGCGAGCCTATCCCTGGCCACCTGCGCTTTCTCCTTCTCTATCAGTCCCCTCTCTCTCTCCACCGCCGCCTTCTCCCTCTCCAGTTGGGCGCGCTCCCGGTCCAGGTTGGCCATCTCTCTTTCCAGCCCTGCTTGCTCTCTCTCCAGCGCCATCCGCTCTCTCCCCATCACCTCTCGCTCGCCCTCCAATGCCGCCCGTTCGGTCTCCAGCGTCGCCCTCTCGGTGTCCATCTCGTCCAGGTCGCAGTGCATCCCCATCACCCCTATCCCCCCCATCATGGCTCTCTTCCTGGGCCGGGCGTCAGGGAGAAAATCACTGTCGCTGGTGCCTGGGGGTAGTGGGCCGATGATGGGGGCTGAGCCTGCCAGACGCCCCTCCATTGCATCACTCATCAGATCATACCAACGCCAACTGTGGGGGAACACCTGCACCCCTGGGGGAGGGTACTTCAGCTCCTGTCCCCAAAACAAGGATAAACAGTATTAGTAGGTAGTCAGATAATGAAGGATTTGATGATTAGTTGAGTAGATGTTAGGCTTGGACAAAGTAGTAGGCACAGGATGGCTCTTGGGCAGGGTTATTTATAACTATATAAGGATGCCTATTATAGGGTCAATTTCATGAGGTTTCAATCATGAGGTACACGAAAGTATGTGTATACCCCTTCAAATGAGTGGATTCTGCCATTTCAGTCACACCCGCTGCTGACGTGTATAAAATCGAGCACACAGCCATGCAATCTCCATAGACAAACACTGGCAGTAGAATGGCCTTACTGAAGAGCTCAGTGACTTTTAACGTGGCACCGTCATAGGATGCCACCTTTCCAACAAGTCAGTTCGTCAAATTTCTGCCCTGGTCAACTGTAAGTGCTGTTATTGTGAAGTGGAAACGTCTAGGCGCAACAACGGCTCAGCTGCGAAGTGGTAGGCCACACAAGCTCACAGAACGGGACCGCCGAGTGCTGAAGCGCGTAGCACGTAAAATTCGTCTGTCCTCGGTTGCAACACTCATACAGAGTTCCAAAATGCCCCTGGAAGCAACGTCAGCACAATAAGTGTTTGTAGGGAGTTTCATGAAATTGGTTTTCATGGCCGAGCAGCCGCACACAAGCCTAAGATCACCATGCCCAATGCCAAGCGTCAGCTGGAGTGGTGTAAAGCTCGCAGCCGGAAATAACTTTTGGATATCAGAGCGGCGGTAACTCACCAGCTTTACGACCAGGAATCCGACTTTCCCGAATTGGATCCTTTGTTCGTACCCCCCAGGGCAATTGAACTCATCCCAGAAGCTGCTCCAAGACGCCACCAGCAGGAAATAGGTATTCGGAGTGTACTTCTAGTCCGACTCAGGTGTGCACACCATCCACCGCTTCTGAGTATATTACTCGCTAATGTTCAGTCTCTGAACAATAAAGTAGACAAGTTCAGGGCGAGGATCTCCTTCCAAAGAGAGATCAGGGACTGTAACATACTCTGTTCCACAGAATCATGGCTCTCTCGGGCTATACTGTCCCCGTCCATACAACCCAGCTGGGTTCTCAGTACATCGCGCAGAAAGGAATGAAGAACTCTCCGGGAAGAAGGAAGGCGGAGGTGTACGTTTCATGATTAACTACTCATGGTGTGATTGCGATAATATACAGAAACACAAGTCCTTTTGTTCACCCAACCTAGAATACCTCAATCAAATGCCGATCGTATTACCTCCCAAGAGAATTCTCTTCGGTTATAGTATATTCCCCCTCAAGCTGATACCACGACAGCCCTCAAGGAACTACATTGGACTTTAAGCAAACTGGAAGCCACATATCCTGAGGCCGCATTAATTGTAGCTGGGGATTTTAACAAAGCACATTTTAGGAAAATGCTCCCGAAGTTCTATAAACACATTGACTGTACTAATCGCTCTGAAAAACACTGGACCACTGCTACACCCCCTTTCGAGATGCCTACAAGGCCCTCCCCCACCCTCCCTTCGGCAAATCAGATCACGACTCCATTTTGCTCCTCCCTTCCTATAGGCAGAAACTCAAACAGGAAGTACCCATGCTAAGGTCTATTCAACGCTGGTCTGACCAATCAGAATCCATGCTTCAAGATTGTTTTGATCACACGGACTGGGATATGTTCTGGGTAGCCTCTGAGAATAACATTGACGTATACACGGACACGTTGACTGAGTTCATCAGGAAGTGTATAGGGGATGTTGTTGCCACTGTGACTATTAAAACCTACCCAAACCAGAAACTGTGGATAGATGGCAGCATTCGCGCAAAACTGAAAGCGTGAACAACCGCATTTAACCATGGCAAGGTGACTGGGAGTATGGTTTAATACGAACAGTGTAGTTATTCCCTCCGTAAAAGGCAAAACGTCAGTACAGAGACAAAGTGGAGTCGCAATTCAACAGTTCTGAGACGATACGTATGTGGCAGGGTCTACAGACAATCACGGATTACAAAGGGAAAACCAGCCACGTCATGGACACTGTCGTTTTTGCTCCCGGACAAGCTAAACACCTTCACCCGCTTTGAGGATAACACAGTGCCACCGACGTGGCCCGCTCCCAAGGACTGTGGGCTCTCGTTCTCTGTGGCCAACGTGAGTAAGACATTTAAGCGCGTTAACCCTAGCATCCCTAGCCGCGTCCTCTGAGCATGCGCAGACCAGCTGGCTGGAGTGCTTACGGACATATTCAATCTCTCCCTATCCCAGTCTGCTGTCCCCACTTGCTTCAAGATGTCCACCATTGTTCCAGTACCCAAGAAAGCAAAGGTAGCACTCACTTCTGTGCTTTGAGAGGCTAGTTAAGGATCATGTCACCTTTACCTTACCTGACACAACTAGACCCACTTCAACTTGCTTACTGCCCCAATAGATCCACAGACGATGCAATCGCCATCACACTGCCCTATCCCATCTGGACAATAGGAATACCTACGTCAGAATGTTGTTCATTGACTATAGCTCAGCATCCACCCTGTGCAACTGGGTCCTGGACTTCCTGACGGGCCGCCCCCAGGTGGAAGGTAGGAAACAACACCCCCACTTCAACACAGGGGCCCCACAAGGGTGCGTGCTCAGCCCCCTTCTGTACTCCCTGTTCACCCATGACTGCGTGGCCACGCGCGCCTACAACTCAATCATCAAGTTTGCAGACGACAACAGTAGTAGGCCTGATTCCCAACAATGATGAGACAGCCTACAGGGAGGAGGTGAGGGCCCTGGAGGAGTGGTGCCAGGAATATTACCTCTCCCTCAACGTCAACAAAAATGAAGGAGCTGATCGTGGACTTCAGCAAACAGCACAGCCCTATCCACATTGACGGACCGCAGCGGAGAAGGTGGAAAGCTTCAAGTTCCTCGGCGTACACGTCAATGACAATCTGAAATGGTCCACCCACACAGACAGTGTGGTGAAGGCAGCGCAACAGCACCTCTTCAACCTCATGAGGCATCCTGTAGGGCTGTATCGCCGCCTGATACGGCAATTGCGCCGCCTGCAACCGCAGGGCTCTCCAGAGGGTGGTGCGGTATGCTGAACGCATCACCGGGGGCACACTGCCTGCCCTCCAGGAAACCTACAGCACCCGATGTCACAGGAAGTCCAAAAAGATAACCAAGCACATTAACCACCCAAGCCATGGCCTGTACACCCCGCTATCATCCAGAAGGCGAGGTCAGTACAGGTGCATCAAAGCTTGGACTGATAGACTGAAAAACGGCTTCTATCTCAAGGCCATCAGACTTAAATAGCCATCATTAGCCGGCTACCACACGGCTACTCAACCCTGCACCTTAGAGGCTGCTGCCCTATATACATAAAATCACTGGCCACTTTAATAATGGAACACTAGTCACTTTAATAATGTTTACATACTGCTTTACTCATCTCATATGTATATACTGTATTCTATTCTACTGTATTTTAGTCAATGCCACTCCGACATTGCTAGTCCTAATATTTATATATTTCTTAATTCCATTCTTTTAGATTTGTGTGTTTTGTTGTGAATTGTTAGATACTACTGCACTGTTGGAGCTAGGAACACAAGCATTTCACTACACCCGCAATAACATCTGCTAAATATGTGTATGTGACCAATAAAATTTGATTTGACATCAGTGCCCGACCTCCTCGTGGCTGAACGGAAGCAAGTCCCCGCACCAATGTTCCAACATCTAGTGGAAAGCCTTCCCAGAAGAGTGGAGGCTGTTATAGCAGTAAAGGGGGAACCAACTCCATATTAATGCCAGTGATTTTGGAATGAGATGTTTGACAACTATGTGTCCACATACTTTTGGATATTTAGTGTATGTTGGCTGCAATTTCTACCTTGTATCTCTTCTTGAGATTTTCCCATTTTTTCATTGCCTGACTGGCAGTCATCTTCCCCTGCAAGCCCATGTGTTTGAGGATGGCCCTGCAACAAAAAGGTACACAATGATAATTTAGATTTCAAAACATACACATTGACTCGTCTCAATGACAGGTAAAACGAAAACACGTATTTAACAAAACGTGTACAGGGAGGATCTCGGTTAAGTAGCCTGATCTCACCTCCAGGCCAATCGAGAGGCATTTCTCCTCCCCGTAAACATGTAGCGATTTGATACGCGCAATTTCACAAAGTCCATTGTTTCATATTCAGACACTGAAATAAAGAAACATTTGAGAAAATCACTACATGCATAATATAATTCAAATTAAATAACATTCACATTTCTAGCTAACTGACTAATAGGACAAATGTGGATCGCTCCGTCTGATCTCTACGCATGCATCTGCTAGAACAAGTATTCGAGACAAGGCGCCATGATGTCCCCTTTGTAGGTAGCCAGCTTGCTTACTAGCTAGCTAACTAGCTCAGAGTTCCTTACTTCATTTGTAGTCCGAAATAAACATATAAAGGATAGTTTGATTACTTACATTTGTATGTGTATTCTGAATTCACTTTCTTTTTACTTTTCTTTTTTGCATTATTGGAGTATAGCGGTAGCGTGTGTTCGATGTTTTCCATGGTAGCATCCATTTTAGCTAGCACTGCGAAGGGACCACAATGGAGTGCACTTCGTCTCTTCCGCCCTTCGTCTCTTCTTCTTTGTGTTGGTTTCCGGCCGCAGACTAGTCGCTAGGCGTATTGCTTCCACCCACAGTTCAGACTGTGCACACGCACTACATACTACAATTTCTCACCTAACGTTCGCAAGTGCCATTGCCTACATCATAACATTTTATTACTAAAGCTGTAAGATGTGCAGCGGCTCATGTACAGCTTTGACGAATTTTGTGTTATACACAGTTCACAGAAATCACTGTAGGAGGCTTGAAGTTATCATTTTCCAGAATCATTTGCCACCCAAGTATTGTATTCCAATTAAAATATAATAGAAAAAACGTTGTTCTGTAATTCTACTAATTAGATTACTCGTCCGTAGGCTATAGGCCAATCAAAGTAACCTAACTATGATTTCTTTAGTTCCCAGGTTAGGGTTTTTCACATTGTCTGTTGCCATTGTTATTATACTGTAACGGGGAAATCAGATTTTCAACATTTTAATGGCATTTTTTATATACACAACCAGTCAAAAGTTTGGACACACCTACTCATTCAAGGGTTTTCTTTATTTTTACAATTTTTTACATCGTAGAATAATAAGGCCCCATGTAGCTCAGTTGGTAGAGTATGGCGCTTGCAACGCCAGGGTTGTGGGTTCGTTTCCCACGGGGGAGCCAGTATGAAAATGTATGCTCTCACCAACTGTAAGTCGCTCTGGATAAAAGTGTCTGCTGAATGACTAAAAAGTAATAGTGAAGACTCAACATTATGAAATACACATTTGGATCAGGTAGTAACCAAAAAAGTATTAAACAAATATATTTGAGATTCTTCAAATAGCCACCCTTTGCCTTGATGACAGCTTTGCACACTCTTGGCATTCTCTCAACCAGCTTCATGAGATAGTCACCAGGAATGCATTTCAATGAACAGGGGTGCCTTCTTAAAAGTTTATTTGTGGAATTTCTTTTTTTCTTAATGCGTTTGAGCCAATCAGTTGTGTTGTGACAAGGTAGGGGGGTATACAGAAGATAGCCCTATTTGGTAAAAGACCAAGTCCATATTATGGCAAGAACAGCTCAAATAAGCAAAGAGAAACAACAGTCCATCATTACTTTAAGACATGAAGGTCAGTCAAAATGGAACATTTCAAGAACTTTGAAAGTTTCTTCAAGTGCAGTCGCAAAAACCATCAAGCGCTATGATGAAACTGGCTCTCATGAGGACCGCCACAGGAATGGAAGACCCAGAGTTACCTCTGTTGCAGAGGATAAGTTCATTAGAGTTACCAGCCTCAGAAATTGCAGCCCAAATAAATGCTTCACAGAGTTCAAGTAACAGACACATCTAAACATTAACTGTTCAGAGGAGACTGTGTGGATCAGGCCTTCATGGTCGAATTGCTGCAAAGAAACCACTACTAAAGGACACCAATAATAATAAGAGACTTGCTTGGGCCAAGAAACATGAGCAATGGATATTAGACCGGTGGAAATGTGTCCTTTGGTCTGGAGTCCAAATTTGAGATTTTTGGTCCCAACCGCCATGGCTTTGTGAGACGCGGTGTGGGTGAACGGATGATCTCCGCATGTGTATTTCCCACCGTAAAGCATGGAGGAGGAGGTGTGCTGGTGACACTGTCTGTAATTTATTTAGAATTCAAGGCACACTTAACCAGCATGGCTACCACAGCATTCTGCAGCGATACGTCATCCCATCTGGTTTGCGCTTAGTGGGACTATCATTTGTTTTTCAACAGGACAATGACCCAACACACCTCCAGGCTGTGTAAGGGCTATTTGACCAAGAAGGAGAGTGATGGTGCTGCATCAGATGACCTGGCCTCCACAATCACCCGACCTCAACCCAATTGAGATGGTTTGGGATGAGTCGGACCGCAGAGTGAAGGAAAAGCTTCCAACAAGTGCCCAGCATATGTGGGAACTCCTTCAAGACTGTTGGAAAAGCATTCCAGGTGAAGCTGGTTGAGAGAATGCCAAGAGTGTGCAAAGCTGTCATCAAGGCAAAGGGTGGCTATTTGAAGAATCTCAAATATAAAATATATTTTGATTTATTTAACACTTTTCTGGCTACTACATCATTTCAAATGTGTTATTTCATAGTTTTGATGTCTTCACTATTATTCTACAATGTAGAAAATAGTAAAAATAAAGAAAACCCCTGGAATGAGTAGGTGTGTCCAAAGTTTTGACTGGTACTGTATATATACAGTGGGGAGAACAAGTATTTGATACACTGCCAATTTTACAGGTTTTCCTACTTACAAAGCATGTAGAGGTCTGTAATTTTTATCATAGGTACACTTCAACTGTGAGAGACGGAATCTAAAACAAAAATCCAGAAAATCACATTGTATGATTTTTAAGTAATTAATTTGCATTTTATTGCATGACATAAGTATTTGATCACCTACCAACCAGTAAGAATTCCGGCTCTCACAGACCTGTTAGTTTTTCTTTAAGAAGCCCTCCTGTTCTCCACTCATTACCTGTATTAACTGCACATGTTTGAACTCGTTACCTGTATAAAAGACACTTGTCCACACACTCAATCAAACAGACTCCAACCTCTCCACAATGGCCAAGACCAGAGAGCTGTGTAAGGACATCAGGGATAAAATTGTAGACCTGCACAAGGCTGGGATGGGCTACAGGACAATAGGCAAGCAGCTTGGTGAGAAGGCAACAACTGTTGGCGCAATTATTAGAAAATGGAAGAAGTTCAAGATGACGGTCAATCACACTCGGTCTGGGGCTCCATGGAAGATCTCACCTCGTGGGGCATCAATGATCATGAGGAAGGTGAGGGATCAGCCCAGAACTACACGGCAGGACCTGGTCAATGACCTGAAGAGAGCTGGGACCACAGTCTCAAAGAAAACCATTAGTAACACACTACGCCGTCATGGATTAAAATCCTGCAGCGCACGCAAGGTCCCCCTGCTCAAGCCAGCGCATGTCCAGGCCCGTCTGAAGTTTGCCAATGACCATCTGGATGATCCAGAGGAGGAATGGGAGAAGGTCATGTGGTCTGATGAGACAAAAATAGAGTTTTTTGGTCTAAACTCCACTCGCCGTGTTTGGAGGAAGAAGAAGGATGAGTACAACCCCAAGACCACGATCCCAACTGAGAAGCATGGTGGTGGAAACATCATTCTTTGGGGATGCTTTTCTGAAAAGGGGACAGGACGACTGCACCGTATTGAGGGGAGGATGGATGGGGCCATGTATCGCGAGATCTTGGCCAACAACCTCCTTCCCTCAGTAAGAGCATTGAAGATGGGTCGTGGCTGGGTCTTCCAGCATGACAACGACCCAAATCACACAGCCAGGGCAACTAAGGAGTGGCTCCGTAAGAAGCATCTCAAGGTCCTGGAGTGGCCTAGCCAGTCTCCAGACCTGAACCCAATAGAAAATCTTTGGAGGGAGCTGAAAGTCCGTATTGCCCAGCGACAGCCCTAAAACCTGAAGGATCTGGAGAAGGTCTGTATTGAGGAGTGGGCCAAAATCCCTGCTGCAGTGTGTGCAAACCTGGTCAAGACCTACAGGAAACGTATGATCTCTGTAATTGCAAACAAAGTTTTCTGTACCAAATATTAAGTTCTGCTTTTCTGATGTATCAAATACTTATGTCATGCAATAAAATGCAAATTCATTACTTAAAAATCATACAATGTGATTTTCTGGATTTTTGTTTTAGATTCCATCTCTCACAGTTGAAGTGTACCTATGATAGAAATGACAGACCTCTACATGCTTTGTAAGTAGGAAAACCTGCAAAATCGGCAGTGTATCAAATACTTGTTCTCCCCACTGTATATACAGTGGGGGAAAAAAGTATTTAGTCAGCCACCAATTGTGCAAGTTCTCCCACTTAAAAAGATGAGAGAGGCCTGTAATTTTCATCATAGGTACACATCAACTATGACAGACAAATTGAGAATTTTTTTTCCAGAAAATCACATTGTAGGATTTTTAATGAATTTATTTGCAAATTATGGTGGAAAATAAGTATTTGGTCAATAACAAAAGTTTCTCAATACTTTGTTATATACCCTTTGTTGGCAATGACACAGGTCAAACGTTTTCTGTAAGTCTTCACAAGGTTTTCACACACTGTTGCTGGTATTTTGGCCCATTCCTCCATGCAGATCTCCTCTAGAGCAGTGATGTTTTGGGGCTGTCGCTGGGCAACACGGACTTTCAACTCCCTCCAAAGATTTTCTATGTGGTTGAGATCTGGAGACTGGCTAGGCCACTCCAGGACCTTGAAATGCTTCTTGCGAAGCCACTCCTTCGTTGCCCGGGCGGTGTGTTTGGGATCATTGTCATGCTGAAAGACCCAGCCACGTTTCATCTTCAATGCCCTTGCTGATGGAAGGAGGTTTTCACTCAAAATCTCACGATACATGGCCCCATTCATTCTTTCCTTTACACGGATCAGTCGTCCTGGTCCCTTTGCAGAAAAACAGCCCCAAAGCATGATGTTTCCACCCCCATGCTTCACAGTAGGTATGGTGTTCTTTGGATGCAACTCAGCATTCTTTGTCCTCCAAACACGACAAGTTTAGTTTTTACCAAAAAGTTCTATTTTGGTTTCATCTGACCATATGACATTCTCCCAATCCTCTTCTGGATCATCCAAATGCAGTCTAGCAAACTTCAGATGGGCCTGGACATGTACTGGCTTAAGCAGGGGGACACGTCTGGCACTGCAGGATTTGAGTCCCTGGCGGCGTAGTGTGTTACTGATGGTAGGCTTTGTTACTTTGGTCCCAGCTCTCTGCAGGTCATTCACTAGGTCCCCCCGTGTGGTTCTGGGATTTTTGCTCACCGTTCTTGTGATCATTTTGACCCCACGGGGTGAGATCTTGCGTGGAGCCCCAGATCGAGGGAGATTATCAATGGTCTTGTATGTCTTCCATTTCCTAATAATTGCTCCCACAGTTGATT